AAAAAAAGAAAAATAAAATAAAAGTTTTTGTCTGAGGCTGAGATGCGGTTTGGGAGCCTAGAATTCGTAAATTTCTCATTCTGTAGTCAAAACACGTCAACTTCACATGAAAGAAAGCTATATTTTTAAGTGTCAGCTAATGTACTCAGGTGGAGGGTCCCCAGGTTGGTGGGAAATCTCTCAGTGTCGCAGAAGTAATTGGCATTTCTCCTGGGGACTGAGGACTGCTGTCTTGAAATCCTGTGGAGAAGCCTATGCATGCCGGACACTCAAATCTAAGATAAGTAGTATAGTCAACTCAAAGGCTTCTCCCCAGGCTTTGAGTAAAGCCCAGGGACTAGCTGGAAGAAGCCCCTGAGGCTCCTCTGGCCCCAAAGGGATGTCATTAATAGGCCCATTATCTACTGTCTTAAAATGACAGGCTTCTGTCTACATTCAGAAAATCAAGGCCCCAAGAGCCTTTGTTATGCATTTCTCTTTGACTTTAAGAGTTATTTTTATCCTCTTCTTGATTAGAAACATACTTACTCTAAAGCTCACTTCAGCTCTTGCATAAAAAGCTCCCTGATATAGGAGTAGTAAGAGGTAAGGGATATATAGATGACCCAGATGGCTTTCTCTGCCACAGAGAGGGGACTTTGAGTTCATTTGTGGGATAGGCCAACCTCAGAATACTGAGGATATAACTGGAACTGGCTAGTCTCACCTTGGCCAGGAGAGTTAAATAACAGCAGCTCACCTGGATGAAGTACGTACCACAAGGCAGGCACAAACCCAAGGCTCTCCAGGTACTCACTCCTTTATTTCTCACAACCACCCTCAAAAGTAGAAATTAGTATTTCTCCCATCTTACAAATGGAAAAACTAAGGCACAGAGAGGTTAGGTAACTTACCCCAATTCACACTACTAGTAAGATGTTTTTTGATGTATTTTTATTAAGTGCAATGCATTTTTCAGGCCAGCAATTAAATCTGTTATTAATCAAGTTGGAGAGAGAGCAGAGAGCGTAGAGGTAAAAGACCAGTCAGGAAACTGTTCACACAGTGAATGACAAGTGATAAGTGCCTGAGCCAAGGCGGTAGCCATGGAGACCGGAGGGGCAGGAGTGCACAGAGGAGGCGACTGGAGAGCTGTTAGAGAGAACACCCACAGGACGTGGTTGAAGTTGCATGTGAGGTGGTGGTGGAGGGAGACGGGGTGAAAATGATTCCGTGGTCCGGCTTGCCCATCCGGTGGGATGGATGGTGGTGCCATGAACCAAAAAAAGGAGCAGGTTTGGAGAAAGACAATACAATTTATGATGTTTGTTTTTTCAATACCTATCATACATCTGTGTTACAACTAAGATTTGGTAGGTAATTGGATACCCAGATTCAGAGCGTAAGAGTAGACTAAACTGAAGATGGACTTTGTGAGGCATCAGCAGAAAAGGGGAAGTTTGGACCATGAGATTAGATGAGAGTACTCAGGTGAGCACTTGGCCTCGGAGGAGACTAGGAGGGGTTGAGGGGAACACTGCTGTGTCAGATGCAGACAGAAGGGAGGAGCAAAAGAAGCTGAAGAGGACTCATCAGAGAAGTAGGGAGGATTGGTAGAGGCCAGGGACAGTGTGCAGAAGGGAGAGGCCCCGCACATCAGATCTCTCAAAAGAATCAAATAAAATGAAGCCCAAATATGGCCAGGGCGCTTGGCACTCGGGATGCCATGGGTGGCCTTAGCAAGAACAGTTTAGGAGAGTGTTGGAGCCACTGAACACCGCCATGGAAGCCAGAGTACGCCATGCTAAAAAAGAAGTGTGGCTTGAGGGAAAGGGAGAAATGGTGTTGGAAGAGAACAGGAGAAAGGACAGGCAGAGATATGTTTATAAAGTTCAAATTATTGGATTCTTATATTCTGCATTACATTCTTTTCCATCTTTCTATGGAGCCTCCCAAAAGGCCATTTTAATGACTTTACTGTGATCGTAGATAATATTTAATGAATACTTTCCGTGAGACAAGTACCTAACTTCAGTATCTGACTGTAACCCTTACGCCAAGTCTATTGGAGGTATGATTACCTCCATTTTAAAGATGAGAAAAGTAAATTTTAGGGAGATGAAACCACGTGTTCAAGGCTGAACAACTGATGAGGAGTAGACCCAGAATAAAACTCAGACAGTCTGAATTCAGTCATTTTGTACTCTATGATCTGTTGCCACCAAAAAACAACAACAACAACAATATAATATACGACCCATTCTCCTGGTGTTATATATCTAGGTGTCTTTTGCTCTTTTGCTCTGCGTGTAGCTTTAAATTTCTGTTGAGTTAATTAATACATGCCTTCAACAGCCAAATTTTCTTTCAACCCCATCTCATTGCTCCTCATTTGTCAAGAGGTTGAGTGACTAGCGCACAGAACGCTGTGTGTGGGCTGATTTACAAAGCCAAATACTGATAGAGCCCCCAAAAAAGGGAAAGAAAAAGAGGCATTCTTCCAGGAAATCCACCTGGTTATATGCTGAAATATAAATGCTTATCCCAAAGAACCTTAAAGGAAAACATTTCACTGATGATCAAAATGGTTTAATGCAGAAAACCATGCTGAACACAGCAACAGTTCTGTCCAGTATTCTAAAGTCATTTCAAAATATTTTCAGAGGCTTTCATAAATACTCTGCCAAAAAAAAAGAGAGAGAGAGAGAGAGAAACACTACACTTAGCCAGACAAAATTTAACCCACAAGAACTTGAGCAACAATTGATAAAGGTTCAAGATCATATTTTTTGTATCTGGTTACAACCCACCAAAAAATTATTTCAGAACATGAAGTCTTCAAGATGGTATTCATAAATTAACATTGCCACTATAAAAGCTTTGTGTCAAGGAACTTGAACTCCCTGGCCACCCCCAACCTTTCAAACCCTATCCTTCAAAGATTTCTTCCAGCTCAGTGTTCTCAAACATGCCTGAGTGAGACCTCAGTAGGAAATACACTGTGGCCCAGTATTTGCATGTACACATATATACACACTCATACACATACCATTCACATTTAACTGAAACAGATTTTTTACAAAATAATACTTGTCCTCACCATGCGCAACTAACTTTAATATTTTCTTTTCTATCCTATTTCATTTCTTAAAAATGCTGGTCCTAACACACAAATTGTTTCATGAGGGCTTGAAGAGTTGCAACCTATAGTTTAGAAACTCTTTTTTTTTTAAAGGATCTAAATTAAAACACTCCAACCAGGAGATCTGCATGAGGAAGAACCCATAGTTGATATAATAGAACGTACAGGAGCTTCGGAATTAGATAGACACGAAGTCCAGTCACATCTCTTCAGTGAACAGGCTGTGTGCCTTTGGACAAGCTAGTTGATCTCTCTGACCCTCCCTTTTCTCTCCATAGCCCTTTGGTACTGCTGGGAGAATGAATAGAGAAGACACATGTAAAAATACCTTGCCCAGCAATTAGTAGCACTAAATGCATTCATTCATCCAACAAATATTTATTGAGCATTAGATGCTGTCCTAGAGGCTGGGCATACAGCAGTTGACAAAACCAATGACACCTCTGCTTTCATGGAGCTGGCATTCCAGTTGGCAAAGACAAGCATAAGCAAATAAACACAGGCTATGTTAGGGAGTGATAAGGCTATTCATTTCCTATTGCTGCTATAACAAGTTACCATAAACTCAGTGGCTTACAACAACACAAATTTATCACCCTACAGTTCTGGAGGCCAGAAACCTACAATGGGTCTCACTGGGATAAAATCAATGTGAGGCCAGGGCTGTTTTCCTTTTGGAGGCTCTAGAAGAGAATCCAACTCCTTTTCTTTTCCAGATTCTAGAGGTCGCCACACTCATTGGCTTATAGCCCCACTTCCACCTCCAAAGCCAGCAACAGTGGTTGAATCCTTTTAACCCGAATCACTTTGGCTCTTCTTCTGTGGGCACAACACCTTCTCTGACTCTGAGCTTCCCTCCTCGCTCTATTAAGGATCGGTGTGATTAGATTGGGTCCACCCAGGTAATTCAGAATAATCTCCCTATCTCAAGATCCTTCACTTAATCGCTTCTACAAAGTCCTTTTTTGCCATGGAAGATAACATAGTCACAAGTTCCAAAGAACAAGATGTCATCTTTGATGGGGGGTGCGAGTGGTGGGGCGAGGGAATGTGGGGGCGGGATTCTGCCTACCACAAGAGCAATGAAGAAAAGTAAGATAAAGTAAAGGGGACTTCTGCCTGTTGATGGAGTCACCAACCGGGGTAATACTAAGAACAAAGCTAAGTAAATGTCATTTTTTTTCTTTTAGTATTTGCAGTGGCAGAAACCAGCCTCCATGTCTAGGGAACTAGAATGGCCAGAGGCATGAGACTGCCTGAATCATATACTGTGAAGACACTCTTCTTAGATTCAGCCAATTACCTATAACTCCAAAGAGGTTATGATTTGGGATAATCTGTGATTTTTGGTATTTGTCTTCCCAGCCTTGGATTCCTGAGCAAGTTGTAGCTGCCAAGCAAGCCTAGGGGACAGCCAGGGATCTGCACCCCAGGCACTTTTCATAGGTCTTGCTCTGTAGACACTTCTGTTTAGTAATTTTTCTGGATCTGTCATCATTGTTTCATTTGTGAACTCTGGGCACCAAGTGGGGGGCAAAAACAAAATCTTAGTGAAAGTTGAAAAGATGGACTTGTGGTACCCTAGTATGCCCAGAAATGTGACAAGGGCAAAAGCCAACAGCCTGAATGCATTCCCTGTTTGTAAATGTGAGGCTGCATTGAAGTTTCAGGTGTATCTTGCATAAGCATCAGGGTCCTCTGTGAGGTGTCTCTTCCCCTACGTATCTGAATATAGGGACCGGAAGTCACTTATCCTGTCACGACCACATTGCCGGTGCTGTGCTGTTCACATGAGCAAAGAGGCACAGGAAGTCCACGTGTCTGTGTTGGCCACTGGTCTGCTTTCTTATTTAATCTTGGTACATTTGTTTTATTTCAGGGAAAACTCGATGCCTTGTGGGTCCTACTCAGGAAAGGATATGATCGTGTGTCCGTGATGCGTCCACAGCCAGGAGACACGGTAGGATTCATTAATGGTGGAACACACACCGAGTCTTTTCTCTCTCTCTCTCTCTCTCTCTCTCTCTCTCTTTCTACCTCTATCTGAATGTCACATTATCTCTCTACATC